TCTGCTCGGCACCGTCGAGAACAAGCTCGGCATCGCTGATTGGCTCAAGGAGCAGGGTCACGAGTTTGTTGTCACCGCCGACAAGGACACGCCCGACTCGGAGTTCCGCAAGCACGTCAAGGATGCCGAGATCGTCATCACGACGCCCTTCCACCCCGCCTACCTCACCGCCGAGGTGCTCGAGTCGGCCAAGAACCTCAAGTGCTGCATCACCGCCGGCGTGGGCTCGGACCACGTCGATCTGGATGTGGCCAACAAGAGGAACATCTCGGTGTACGAGGTGACGGGCTCCAACGTGGTGTCGGTGGCCGAGCACGTCGTCATGACCATCCTCGTTCTCGTGCGCAACTTTGTCCCCGCCAACCGACAGTACCTCGAGGGTGGCTGGAACGTCGCCGAGGTGGCACGCCAGTCGTACGACCTCGAGGGCAAGGTGGTGGGCACGCTGGGCTCGGGACGCATTGGCTCGCGTGTTCTTCAGCGCTTGAAGCCGTTCGACTGCGCCAAGCTCACCTACTACGACTACCAGCGCAACGAGCAGCTCGAGAAGGACACGGGTGCACAGCGCGTCGAGGACCTCAAGCAGTTCCTCGGCGAGCTCGACGTGCTCACCATCAACTGCCCGCTCTACGAGGGCACCAAGGGCCTCATCAACGCCGAGAAGCTCTCGTGGATGAAGAAGGGCGCTTGGATCGTCAACACTGCGCGCGGTGCCATTGTCAACGCCGCCGACATCCGCGCCGCGCTCGAGAGCGGCCACATTGCAGGCTACGGCGGCGACGTCACCGACCGACAGCCGCCCGAGCCCTCGCACGACTTCTACCACATGAAGAGCGCCGTCAAGTACGAGCACGGCGTCGGCGGCAATGCCATGACCCCGCACATCTCGGGCACCTCCATCGACGCCCAGGCGAGATACGCCGCCGGTGTCAAGGAGATCCTCACCAACTACTTTGGCGGCAAGGCTCAGCTCCCCGCCAACGTCATCGTCGAGGGCGGAGCGTATGCCACCAAGGCGTACGGCCAGCGCAAGTGAGGCTGCTGTACCTTGACTGCTGCTAGTAATGTGATTGGTTTCGTATGCACGTCTCTTGTTCCAGTGGTCGGTGGTGTCGTGTGTATATTGAATGAAAGCCGGGTGGAGGAGGGAGGAGGAGGGGGTCTGGGCTGCACCGGCGCGGCTAAATGAAATCTGGCTAAATGAAATCTACGCGTAGAGCGGCTGACAGACACGTCGGACAGCGCGCCGGCTCTGTGCGACGCTCGAAAAATTCATCTTTCGAGGTGCGTCACGCGTTGCGTAAAAAAGTTCGAGTCGCTCCTCTCCTCTGTTCGCGGCTCGGCTGGAATCCGGTAAGGGAGGGCGATTTTGGGCAGCAGCAGCAGCAGCGCTTTGCCCTGCCAAACACTACACCACACGGCCTACACTCAACACCTCCACCACCACCCATTCTTCCCGCACCGCTCGCTCGTACAGCCTCCGTTCCCGCATTCCGGAGTCGCCGTGCACATCGATACCCGCTCGCAAGTAGCTCAGCCAAGCGTGCCCAAGCGTAGCCTCACGACGTCCAACTCTCCCACATATGCACCACCAACGTCGATCCACCGACGATCCCATCGAACCCGCCACTCCGCCTAGAGCCCATGCCAACTCAGCCACGGCGCCCCGCATCATCTGCCTCGACTCGAGCCCCATCGTCGCCTCGCCCAAGGCCGCCACCATGTCCGCCCACCCGTTCCGCCCCGCCATGAATGCCACCAACGCCTCTGCCATGAGCCGCACCGCCTTCACCGCCCAGCCGGGCTCCTCCTCCTTCCGCTCCAGCCTCCAGCAGTTCAAATACAACGGCACCGACGCCAAGCGCGAGATCATCGTGTCCGACGACGACAGCTCCGGCCTCTCGGATCCCGAGTCGTCGGCAGATGACGAACCCAAACCAAAGAAGCGCCGCTTGGTGCGAGGTGGCAATTCGCGCAACCGTTCACGCGAGCCGTCCGAGGAAACACGCAGCCGCAGCCGCTCCCCGACTTCCACTGCCGACACCAGCCGCATGAGCAGCGGCGGCGGCAAGCGCGAGAACGCAACCACCGCCAACGGCCACGATAGCAGCGACGACGACGTCCAAGAGGTCGCACCGCAACGGCCGCAACCCACCACCGCCACGGCGACCAAGCCAACACCATCACCTACAAAGCCTGCCGCAGCGACGCAACAGGCGCATCTGCCAGCTCCGATGTCGGAAGCGGAGTTGAAGCAAAAGGCAAGACGCATCATCCAGATCCAACCGCTCCTCGAGCCCAAACGCATCATCGCAGCGCTGCGCCAGACAAGAGGCAACATCGACAAGACGCTCCAGCTCCTTGCTTCGCGACCCAGCGTCGTGACCACAAAGACCATCAGCCTCAAGCCCGCGCGTGATGCTCTCCCGCGCCCCGCATCGGCCAGTGTTGCAGCCTCCGACAGGTCGAGGCAGTCCAGCGTGGCCGCTGCCGATTCGCGTTCTTCCACGCCGGCATCGTCACGCGCGCCTGCCGCCGCGGCTGCGGTTCCACAGCCGTCCAAGCCCAAGAAGCGTGCCGAAGAGACGATCGAGCTCAGCTCCGACGACGACAACTCCGACGGCCACGACCGCGCCGAAAGGGAGGACCGCGCCGCTGTCAAGTGGTTCAACACCGCCGACGCCAACGCGCTCATGGACACCACCAACTGCAACGCCCAGCAGGCCGATACCATCATCGCGCTGCGCCCCTTTGCCCACGCCGACGACGTCGAGGACAAGCTCGGCAGCAAGGCCGCCAAGGGCGTCACGCCGCGCCTCTTCCACCAGTGCAAGGACCTCATGGCAGGCTACTACGAGGTCGACGAGGTGCTCGCAAAGTGCGAGACGATCGGCCGCGAGCTGACCGACGCCATGGCCTCGTGGCTGCCCGATGCGAGTCAGACCGTCTCGCGCCTCGCTTCGCCCGCCGTCACGGCTTCGGTGGCCGCCTCGGCTGCAGGCTCGCGCGAGGGCACGCCCGCCAGCACACTCAACCTCGCCAGCATCAAGAAGGGCGTGGCCGACAAGTTCTACCTCGAGGAGCAGCCGCGCCTGCTCGCCGACGGCGTCAGGCTCAAGGACTACCAGCTCGTCGGCGTCAACTGGCTCAACCTCCTCTACCGCAAAAAGACCAGCTGCATCCTCGCCGACGAGATGGGGCTCGGCAAGACCGCGCAGGTCATTGCATTCTTTGCGCATCTCAAGCATCTCGGCATTCGGGGACCGCATCTGGTGGTGGCGCCCAGCTCGGTGCTCGAAAACTGGGATCGCGAATTCCGCTTCTTTGCACCCAGCATCAGCGTGCGCAAGTACTACGGCTCCATGAAGGATCGCGTCGAGCTGCGCGAAGAGCTCGCGGCGGATCCGGAGCTCGAGGTCATCCTCACCACGTACGACATGGCGGCAGGCGGGCCCCAGGACCACGGCTTTCTGCGCAAGTTCGGCCGCAGGGGCTGTGGGCGCAGCGAGTGCAAGGCCGGATGCGACGAACAAGACTGCCGCGCCGGCGGCTTTGAGGTCTGCGTCTTCGACGAGGGCCACATGCTCAAGAACCGCAAGTCGCAAAAGTACGAAAAGCTGCTGCGGCTCAAGACCCACTGGCGCCTGCTGCTCACGGGCACGCCGCTGCAGAACAACCTGCAGGAGCTGGTGTCGCTGCTCAACTTTATCATGCCCGCCTACTTTTCCGACGCCGAGGAGGCGCTCGCGGCCATCTTCAAGGTGAAGCCGGGCGCGCAGCAGAACCAGCTGTCCAAGCAGAGGGTGGATCGCGCCAAGAAGATGATGCACCCCTTTGTGCTGCGGCGGCTCAAGGACCGTGTGCTGACCGACCTGACCACCAAGACGGTGCGCGTCGAGTACTGCGATATGACGCCGTCGCAGCGCCGCGTGTATGCGCAGGCGGTGGCGCGGACCAAGCGCGTCGCAGCAGCCCAAGCATCCGAGCCCGCTGCGACGCGGAGCAAGACAGCGACCAAGGGGGCGGGGAGCAAGGAGAGCGGGCATGTGTTGATGGAGCTGCGCAAGGCGGCGAACCATCCGCTGCTAACACGCAGGTTGTTTGACGAGGCCAAGATCGACGCCATGGCGAGGGACCTCATGAAGGAGCCGGACTATGCCGACTATGCATTCGAGCACATCAAGGAGGATCTGCGCATCAACACGGATGCCCAGCTGTCGTTCTCGGCGCAGACCTATCCGGCCACGCGCAAGCACGTCCTGCCCGCCCGCGAGTGGATGGACTCGGGCAAGATCCAGGCGCTGCAACGACTCATCCCCGAGATCCAGGCGCAGGGAGACCGTATCCTGATCTTTAGCCAGTTTACCATGGTGCTCGACATCCTCTGCGTCTGCCTCGAACACATGGGCATCAAGTACGTTGGCTTTACCGGGTCCACCCAGGTCGAAGACAGACAGGTGCTGGTGGATCAATTCACAAACGATCCATCGATTACCGTGTTTCTGCTCTCGACCAAGGCGGGTGGATTGGGCATCAACCTGATTGCTGCCAACTGGGTGATTCTGTTCGACCAGGACTTTAATCCGCACAATGACAAGCAGGCCGCAGACAGGTCGTACCGCATGGGACAGACCAAGCCCGTCACGGTCGTCAAGCTGCTAAGCCGCGGTACGATCGACGAGGACATCCATGCGCTGGGCGAGAGGAAGCTCGAGCTTGCCGATCGCGTGTCGGGCGAAGACGACACCGAGTCCGACGAGGCCGAACAGAAGAAAGTCGCCCAGACCCTACTTGCCAGACTGCGCGATGCTGCCTCGCCCGACGTTATAGAGATCAGCGACACGGACCAAGCGAGCTAGAGTCCTCCTTCCTATCCTTGCCATCACAGCATTCATCACAATCGGCTTTTCTTCTCATGGCCACGACGGGGAGTGTGCATTGCCATGGCGTGCGGTGAGGGGAGACGGGTATAATTGCAGTGCACACAAGCTTTGTGTGGTTCAGAGTTCTTCGTGTTGCGACGAGGTATCGGCAAGAGATGGCGTGGATGCTGCTTGCATAGCCGGCTCGGGTGGTGAATCGAGCTTCGAGCCGAGGTCGATCCAGAACCCAAGGCCCTGGTGCTTGCTCGGTCCAACGTGAAACCGCTTGGGCACGTTCCATTCCACGTCCGACCAGGGTATCGTCAGCCTAAAAAAGTCGTCCCCCTCTACTTTGTCCTCATCGGCAGGTTGCGTTGGTGCTGAGGCGGATCGTGGTCGTGCCATCGGGTTAAAGAAGCCGTTGCCTCCCGAGAGCCCTAGGTCGATCCAGCCATAGCTCGCGCGAGGTTGTGCGGTGTCATTTGCAGCATCGATGGCGGGGACAATGGTGGATGCGGGGCCGTACCAGTTGGACGAAGTTGTGAAGAGACCCGTGAGGATGAGTGCGCAGTAGATGCATGGCTGCGAGTGCAGTGCAAACGACACGAGGAACAGCACCAGGAACAATGGCGACGTGTGCGGGAACGGCAGCAGGAACAGCGGGATCCACCACCGCAGACAGTACATTGTGTGCGTCCAGACCGAGAGGGACAGAAGGAAGAGTCGAGGCTGAGAGATAGAGTGGATGAGAGTGAAGGTGGAAGGTGCGGGAGGCAGACAAAGGTGAGGCTCCGCCGCGTGACAGCGGTTGGAAATCTTGCCGATTTGAGCAGAATCGGATTTGGGAGATCGGGATGCGTGCATTGCGTCTGGCGAGCCGACGCGCTCTGATGATGCAGACCAACACCTGACCTGCATCTTTGCTTCCTCACACCATCTGCCGCATGCGTGTCGGCTCAACACGCTTCTTCCCTGCGCCGCAGCCATCGCCGTCATGCCGCTTCTATACCCATCGGGCGCAAAGTCGCTGCACCGACTCACACCATTCCAGCGGCTCATCAAGATCGCCAGGCACACGCCGTCGTCCTCCGCTTCCGTGGGCACCAGCTCCGATGTGCGCAGCTGCGCTGGCTTCAAACCGTCCGAGTACGAGGAGGTGGTGGAGGATCCGGTCTCGCGCAGCTCCCGACACGAGACGCGCGCCGTCGACGATGGCAAGCTCAAGGCGGACTGGGGTGCAGTAGCGTGCGACACGTGCGGGCGGAGCATCGAGGAGCACGCAGCGCTCGGCGACACTGACGACGAGGAGGCGACGCGCAGAGGCAAGGTCGCCGTGCGCCTCGACGAGCTGCTGGAAGACAAGCACAAGCTGCTCGACTTTGAGTACGTCGACGCCGACATCGAGTCGCTGCGCAAGCAGATGCGGCCCGTCGGTGCGGACGGTCTCATCGAGGCGTCGAGCCCGGGCTCGCAGCTCAGCACGGCGCCCGATGCGACTCCGAGCCCGCATCCGGCGTCGCAGACGCTGCCCGCAGCGCCGCACTCATCGACGCCCCTGCTGCAGAGCCTCAACCGAAAGCGCAAGCTGCGCGAGAGCTCGCGCTCCAGGTCGCGGTCGCGCGATCGCGAAGCTTCGGTGGCGACGTCGAGCCGATTGTCGAGCCCAGAGATGACGGTGGCGCACTCGAATCCGGCGTCGCGCCACGCCTCGCCGGCTGCATCGAACGGACGGTACGATGTCAAGAGGAGGAAGCTGGCATCTTCGGACCTGGCGAACGAATCGACGGCAGATGCAAATGTGTCGACGGATCTGAGCGACGAGTCGGGCGAGGAAGCCAACGCAGCTGACGTCGCTACCGCGGGCGAAGGCGGCGACGATGCGGACAATGCTGCCGCACAAGCATCCACGAATGGCGGAACAGGGCCGGCAGAGGAAGAGATGGAGGCCAAGGACGCGGAGGAGCGCAAAGCCGAGGTAAAAGAGGAGGCGATCGACCTGGAGGAACAGATGGAGCCTGCACCGAAGAGTGCAGCGTCGGCGGCGGAAGAAGGGGTGGCGCCGCGCAAGGAGCGACCTGCGGTGATCGAGGAGCGCACGGGGCTGATCCAGTTCCGCGTGGTGTCGAACGACGACGACCACGAGTCGATGATCCTGCTGACGGGTCTCAAGAACATCTTCCAGCGGCAGCTGCCCAAGATGCCGCGCGAGTACATCTCGCGGCTGGTGTTTGACCGCAACCACCAGAGCGTGGCGATCGTCAAGCGCGGGCTGCAGGTGGTGGGCGGCATCACGTACCGTCCGTTCAAGCAGCGCAAGTTTGCCGAGATTGTGTTTTGCGCCATCACGAGCACGGAGCAGGTCAAGGGGTACGGATCGCATCTGATGAACCACGTCAAGGACCACGTCAAGGCGTCGTCGCCCGTGATGCATTTCCTGACGTATGCGGACAACTATGCGATCGGCTACTTCAAGAAGCAAGGCTTCACCAAGGAGATCAGTCTGGACCGGTCGATGTGGGTGGGCTACATCAAGGACTACGAGGGCGGTACGCTGATGCAGTGCAGCATGGTGCCGAGGGTCAAGTATCTGGAGGTGCAGGATATGCTGGCCAAGCAGAAGGAGATGGTGCTTGCCAAGATCCGCAGCATCAGCCGCTCGCACGTGGTGCACAAGGGGCTCGAGGCGATGCACAACCGACAGCGACTGATCCAGCTCAAAGGGCTGATCGAGAATCCGGACGGCACGGTGGCCAAGCCGGAGCGTGCGGCGAAGCGCGACCAGCAGAACGGGGAAGAAGATCCAACGGCGACATTCCTCGTGGCACCGAGCGAGGTGCCTGGGCTCAAGGAGAGCGGCTGGACGCCCGAGATGGACGAGCTGAGCCGCCGACCGAAGCGCGGGCCGCACTTTGCCGTCATGCGCCACATCCTCGTCGAGCTCAACGGCCACGGCAGCGCGTGGCCCTTTGTCAATCCGGTCAACGGCGACGAGGTGACCGACTACTACGAGGTGATCAAGAACCCCATGGATCTGTCCACCATGGAGGCCAAGCTGGAAAACAACCAGTACGCCAACGTGGACGAACTCACCGCGGATGCGCAGCTCATCTTTGACAACTGCCGCGCCTACAACCCGGCCTCGTCGCCGTACGCCAAGAGCGCGACCAAGCTCGAAAAGTTTCTCAAGGAGACGCTGCTGCCCAAGGTGCAGAGCTCGCTGTGAGCGCCGCGGCAGAGCGAGGTGACCATGTATTTGTAGTATGTACTCTTTCTCAATCCACGGCTCGCACTTGATGAAGAAGGGATGCGGAGGCAGGCTAGGTGAGGATGGTGAGAAGGGGTCCAGATCGGGAGATTCACTTGCGACCGGCGCACGACCGGCGTTCGATGTGGAAGTTGCAGAGGACGCGGAGTTTTGAGAGAGAGAGAGAGAGAGAGAGAGAGA